TACCAGGTGGCTGATTCACGCCGCGCACTTTTGTACTATGCAACCCGCCCGCATGGCTCCATCCGGGACAGCATACCCATCAGGCGCAGGGGACCGGCTCCAAGCGCCAACGCGTCGCTCCACCACTGTTGTTGGAGCCAACGCCCAGGGGCGTGACTAGGGGTTGTTCTCGGTCCCGCGCGAGTTCCCGCGAGTCCGCCAGGGGTAACCCGTGAGTCCGCGGGGGTAACATGCGGGTCCGCGGGGGTGACTCGCGGGTCCGCGGGGGTAGCTCGCGGTCCGCGGATCCTGCCACGGGGGTACCTCGTGGGCCGCGGGTTCAGTTAGCTATCCCCGTGGAACAGCGAGTTACCCCCGCGCACCCGCGAGTCACCCCCGTGGAACCGCGAGTTACCCCCGCTGACTCACGGGTTACCCCCGGCGGACTCGCGGGAACTCGCGAGAGACAGCGAACAACCCCTAGTAACGCCCCTAGGCGTTGGTTCCACCACCAGTGGTGGAGCGACGAGTTGGCGCTTGGAGCCGGTCCCCTGCGCCTGATGGGTATGCAGTACCGGATGGAGCCGTGCGGGCGGGTTGCATAGTACAAAAGTGCGCGGCGTGAATCAGCCACCTGGTACATGTATGTATGGTGCTACAGTTTTAACTGTGATACTCATGGTACAGCACATACAACTGTTGGACTGTATCACACTTGAGTTTCCAGAGCAGGACTCTGACCAGGCAGCAGGCACAATCAAACTACAAGGAAGTAACCACCGGATCCCTGGAAGCCTGGAAGATTTCCTCCATCGCACCTCGTCCGCATTCTTTCAGCCTGCGGATCGGACTGCCGCCGCCCGCCGGGCGCCTGTGCGGGCGGGTTGCCTACCCGGCACTGGGCCAGGGGCTTCAGTCCTCCCATCTGCGCAGCGCTCCTACGCAGTGCGGCTGTGCGGCTATGCACCCAGAAAAATAGTTTCTTGATTCAAGTGCAAGCTGACGCAAGATAAAATTCACCATTGAAACAAGGCAATATTGTCTTCGGAATAAGATTTTTCTCTTACTCGAAGGAAAATATCAGCTTGTTTCAAGAGTAAATTTGAGCTTGGTGTTAGCGTGCACTTGAAACAAGGAAAAATTCACTTGAAACAAGAAACGATTTTTCTGGGTGTGCATTCATTGCAGGCCCGCGTGGTCGCGCCGCAATGAATGTGTTGGAGTAGACAGTGGAAATTGTCCACAAGAATAGGAGGCTATACGTTCTTCCCATGAGCCTTGCGCCACCGAGCAGTCGCTTCTGCCGACTCTGTCGTCGGTGGACGTGCGTGGTGGCTCCCAATTTACAAGGACCGACAAGGACGCACTGTTGTTACGAGCCAATCAGAGAGCCAAACGGGGGAAAAAGCGAACGTGCGTGAGGCGAAACAAAGGGCGGGGCGAGAGACCGCCCCTTATTGACGAAGAAAGGGAAAATAACCTCAACGTTATACGAACGTGAACGAAACGAAATAATATCCGTTATTGGTCTTGCAGGTCGTCATGGTGACCTCTGAATTATCACACGGAAAATTTCGAAATGACGCGTGTCTGATGCCTTTCGTATGACGGCACTGTCCTGTTAGGATGAACATCCGTCATTCTATAGTTTTCAGTTTTTCAGACTTGTTGTTCTTATAAGGGGTTCGCGCAGACAGCGCAGAGTTCCGAGCACGGAGCTGGCGGCATCGCGGCCAAAGATTCCTTCTGTACGATTAGGAAAATTATGGCAGCCGTGTTTGCGAATGAGCCAGGGAAGCGACAGAGAGAGAGAGAGAGGGGAGGGGGGAGAGGGAGAGACAGAGAGAGGGAGAGAGAGAGAGAGAGAGAGAGAGAGGGCGTGCGTGTGCGTGGAGAGCGTGTCTGGCCCCAAACGCGTTTCAAACGGAACTGTCAAGCAGGAGACTGGCGGGCGGGCGGGACGGGTCTTGAGGGGAGAGGGAGCCCGGCACGGCAGGGCAGGACTCGGGAGGCAGGGCAGGGCACCGGAGCAGCCCTCCCGTCGGGCAGGGCACCGCGGGGCGCTACAAGGCCTCCCCCCCGCCCCCTCTTCCTCGTTCTCTTATTCGCGAACTGAATTCGAATCACGCGAGGAAATGGTTGTGTTCTTTTAATTCCCGAGCGCCACGCTACGCCACGCCCCGCTGCTCCTTCGCCGCTGTTATCGCGCGGGCAGCTCAAACAGCGCTCGGCCCGACGGTGACCCCTGACCCCGCGCCGCGTGAGCATGGAGATGGGCTGCAGTTAGTCGTGTTGTCCACCTCAAAGCACACCTTCGTAAAATCATAGGGTCGTAGTAATAAACACAATCAACCCACCCTCGACGACGAAAACGATTCTTCAAAACATACAAGTTGGGGCAGGGTGCGGTCTCAAATCGGATGGGTCGTCAAAATTATACTGTATCCTCCCCTATCCCAGAGAAAAGAAACGCGGTTCTTGAACGAGCGGAATGACCCGTAATCGTGCACCTAAGGCTCGCTGCAAGGAGGCCCCGTGAGCAAAGCCCAAGTCGCACTGCTGGGAGGAGAAGAACGAACTCTCGAACCCTTTCCCCGAGACCCTTCCTTTTCCCCGGACAAAAGGAGAAACCAGGGCGGAGAGGGGGAGAATAGAGGGGGGGGGGTTACCCATGTCAGAAAGAAAAACAAGTAAAAAGAAAAGGGAAAAATAAAAAGTAAAAAGGAGCTCTAGAGAAGGAAAAGGCACAGTCATGAACGAAAGAAAACAAGGGACTGAGATGAGAGGGGAAAAGGGAGAGGGGGCGCGGGGCAAGGCGAGATCGAGAAGGAAAGAGGGGGGG